GGCCCCCTGGGGGTTGGGGGGGGGGGGGGGGGGGGGACCCCCCCCGGGCCCGGGGGGGGGGGGGGCAACAAGAGACTGCCCAGCCCTGGACAGCCACCCAGTGGGGCACAAGAGATGCCTTTTGCGCCGCTCTGCCCCCGGCCTTCTTGACGCACTCCAGAAGTCTCTGCTGCACTTCCCTCTGCCCCCCCCCCATTGCCCTCGGTTCAGGGTCGCCGGATCCCCCTTGACCACCAGCAGAGGATTGGGTGTGGCAGGGGTCATTTCCTGCAGGAGCGCACAGGAGCGGAGCTCCGGCAGTAAAGAGCCCAGGGGGTGGGCACATGCAACAAGCCCCACCCCCTGCTCCCAGCAGTCCTCAGTCAGAGCAAGAAGCAGCCAGGTAAATTGCAGAGCCCCCCACCGGCCCCTCGGTCCAAAACAGTCCAGTGGCACCTTTAAGACCAGTTTTATTCAGGTACAAGCTCTCCCTCTTCTGCGAGGACAGACCTGCATGTCCCCCCCCCCAAATAGCTAGCAATTCAAAACAGCCCAGTGGAGCCTGAACAGTGGGTGTTGCCTTCTGACACACTTCCGGTGATTTGGGGATGGAGCCTGGGGAGTAGAGTCGCCAGCCCCTGGGTCCAGGCGGGGGTCCCTCTGCTTCTGGGGGCTTCAATCCGCCCCTGCTGAGCTGGTGGGCAGAGGAAGCCCTGCCCCCAAGAGCGGCCACTTGCCCGGCCACCCCTCCCCCTCCCCTCTCACCCAGTTTAAAGGGCTTCAGCCGGTCAGCGGGGACCACGTGGCCTGCCGGCCAGCTGGAAACCCCTTTAAATCCAGGAGGGAGGGGGAGGTTGCAGGCGCAGACTCCACTTGTAAAAGGACCCATTGAAGGGTCTTTTTGTGAGCGGGGCGGGGGCCGCAGCGCACGGGGCTGGGGAAAATACGATGCCACGAAGTCCACCCGCCAAAGCAGCCATTTTCTCCAGGGGGATGGATCTCTGTAGTCTGGAGATGAGCTGTCATTAACTGGGAGGTCCCCCGGTCCCGCCTGGAGGCTGGCATCCCGACCTCACCTGCCTTCCAGGAAAGGGCTCTCTAGTTTCAGCCGTCAGTTCTTAACGGTAGTGGCGGCTCAAAAAGCCTAGTGGAAGAGCTCCGTTTTACAGGCCCTGCGGAACTCCTTCTTTGATGTCGATAAAAATTATTCTAAATATCTGATCGACTGTTGTGGGACGGTGTGAATGAGCTGTATGAGGAACTCTGTTATGAGCAGGGGTCATTTCCTGCGGGAGCGCACGGGAGCGGAGCTCCGGCAGTAAAGAGCCCAGGGGGCGGGCACATGCAACAAGCCCCACCCCCTGCTCCCAGCAGCCCTCAGTCAGAGCAAGAAGCAGCCAGGTAAGTGGCAGAGGCCCCCCCCGCCCAAAACACTCCAGTGGCACCTTTAAGTTTTATTCAGGTACGAGCTCTCCCTCCTCTGCGAGGACAGATCTGTGTGTCCCCCCCCCCATTGGCTAGCCATCCAAAACAGTCCGGTGGAGCCTGAGCGGTGGGTGTGGCCTTCTGACACACTTCCGGTGAGGTCCAGGGGGTGTGGCCTATGCAAATGAGTTACGCTAATGAGCTCCTGCACCTCTTTTTCTACGAAATGACCCCTGGTTATGAGGAACTTTGAAAACGGACAGTTTGGCTTACAAGGACACTTTAAATATTTTGTATAGTCTGTATTGGAATGCGTTTTGTAAGTTCTACCATAATATAAATGCTTAATAATAATTATTATTGAATATGTCGTCGAAGGCTTTCACGGCCGGAGTTCATTAGTTGCTGTAGATCTTCTACAGCCTGCCGTGGAAGCTCTGGCCCAGAGATTAGCTGTTGTAGATTTTCCGGGCTGTCTGGCCGTGGTCTTGGCATTGTAGGACCTGACGTTTCGCCAGCAGCTGTGACTGGCGCCCTCAGCGGTATAACACAGAAAGATGTAACACAGTTACTGGCGAAATGTCAGGTTCTACAATGCCAAGACCACGGTCAGACAACCCGGAAAATCTACAGCAACTAATTATTGAATAGATTGCATAATCATATGCCCTTGGAGGCTGGCAACCCAACGGACTGACCAAAGCGATACAATCAGATGCAAGCACAGGTGCTGTAGGTCCTACATCCTACGTGTGCATAGTCGATGCTGCTTGCGGAAGAGCTGCAGGGCTACAGGGGATGTTGCTGGGCCCACCACCCAATTCCTGCTCTTAACACAGACTTTGTCGCCGGAGGATCACAATACAAGAACTCGTGGGCACTCCATAAAATTGCTGAGCAATCGGGTTAGAACAGATAAAAGGAAGTACTTCTTCACCCAAAGAGTGATTAACACATGGAATTCACTGCCTCAAGAGGTGGTGGTGGCTACAAGCATGGACGGATTCAAGAGGGAACTGGATAAACATGTGGAGCAGAGGTCCATCGGTAGCTATTGGCCACAACGTATAGAAAGACCTCCGCCTGAGCCACTGGAGAGCTGTAAAGAGGGGCCGTGGCTCAGCGGCAGAGCATCTGCCTGGCAGGCAGAAGGTCCCAGGTTCAGTCCCCGGCATCTCCAGTTAAAAAGGACCAGGCAGGAGGTGATGGGAAAGACCTCCGCCTGAGCCACTGGAGAGCTGTAAAGAGGGGCCGTGGCTCAGCGGCAGAGCATCTGCCTGGCAGGCAGAAGGTCCCAGGTTCAGTCCCCGGCATCTCCAGTTAAAAAGGTCCAGGCAGAAGCTGACGTGGAGACCCTGGAGAGCTGTGAAGAGGGGCCATGGCTCAGTGGCAGAGCATCAGCTTGGCATGCAGGAGGTCCCAGGTTCAGGCCCTGGCTTCTCCTGTTAGAAAGGACCAGGCAGGAAGGGATGGGAAAGACCTCCGCCTGAGACCCTGGAGAGAGAACGGCTGCCAGTCCGAGTAGACAATACTGACCTTGATGGCCTGAGGGTCTGATTCAGTAGAAGGCAGCTTCTTGTGTTCCCATTGCAAGCTTGCACTGAGATCTCCAGGTGACAGAGATCAGTTCCCCTGGAGAAAATGGCCATTTTGGAAGGTGGACTTTATGGCATTGTGCCCCATCGAAGTCCCTCCCCCCCTCGCCATTCCCAGGCTCCACCCCCAGAATCTCCAGGTATTTCCCAACCCAGAGGTGGCAACCCAATTTGCAAGCCGCCATGAGTCCCGCAAACGAGAAAGGCGACACAGGAGAAAGGCGGACAATTAACTTTTTGAATAAAACCAAACCATGAAGGAGGAGGAGCAGGAGGAGGAGGAGGAGATTGGATTTATGCCCCACCCTTCACTACCCGAAGGAGTCTCAGAGCGGCTTACAAACTCCTTTCCCTTCCCCTCCCCACAACAGACACCCTGTGAGGTTGGTGGGGCTGAGAGAGCTCTGACAGAAACAGCTCTTTTTCCAAGAACAGCTCTTATCAGAACTATGACTTGCCCAAGGTCATCCAGCCAGGTGTGAGTGGAGGAGTGGGGAATCAAACCCGGCTCTCCCAGATTAGAGTCCGCGCACTTAACCACTACACCAGACTGGCTCTCATAAAACAAGCTGACTGGGCCCCTCTTATCTGGACAACCAGATTCAAGAGGCTGCAAAGGCTACACAGTCTGGGCTAGAAACTTCCTGGTGAGAACCGCGGACCGGACCCCAGCCCCAAAAGCTGCACCGAACCCGCGTGCTGAACTGCAAAGCAGACACAGCCAGACTCCCCTCGATACAGAGATACAGGGCGGATTTCTACCCAGATTTTTAATATGCCCTGTGGATGGAGATAGGTGATGTGGTCATGGGGTGGTTCACTCCATTTCCTCCGAGGGGTCTTCCCCGCCAGCGTCTGCCTGGTCTCCTCCAGGCGCCCCTTCTGCTGCCCTCTCACCGGGGACCAGAGCGCCACAGATCGACTCCCACGTCTCCTCGAGGTTCCGCTGCCGCTGCTCGCACTCCTCCTTCTCCACCAAGGGGTTGCCCTCCAGCCAGGAGGCGGTGCTCTTGCACAGCTCCAGCATCCTCCTTTTGGCCGCCACGTCCAGGACTTCTTCTTCCGCCGCCCTCTTCAGCTCCAGGGTACAAGACTCCAGGGAATTAATGGCTTCGATCTTCTCCTGCTGGGACAAGTCGTGCGCTCGGAACTCCTCCGCCTTCTGCACGATTCCTTCGATCTCCTCGCGGCCGAGCCGGCCCCTGGTGTCCGAAATGGTGAGGTGGCTGGTGTTCCCGGTCTCCACGTCCTTGGCCGACACGGTCAGGATGTTGTTTTCGTCGATGGAAAAGGTCACGGTGATGACGGGGACCCCACAGGGGGCGGGAGGGATGCCTTTCAGGGTGAACGTCCCCAGCAGGTGGTTGTGCTTGGTCAGCGCTCTCTCCCCCTCGTACACCATGAACAAGATGGTGTCTTGGTCGTCCTCGGTGGTGGTGAACTCCATGCTTTCCTTGGTGGGGAGTGGGGAATTGCGCTTTATTATGGTCGCCATGACTCCCCCTTGAGTGTTGATCCCCAAAGACAGCGGGGTGACGTCGAGGAGGAACATGTTCTGCATGTTTGGCGTCTGGTTGCCCGTCAAGATGGCCGCCTGGATGGCAGCACCGCAGGCGACGGCCTCGTCGGGGTTGATGCCCTTGCACAGCTCCTTGCCATGGAAATAGTCCCTCAGGAGCTTCTGGATCCTCGGGATCCGAGTCGAGCCGCCAATCAACACGATGTCCTTGATGTCGCCCTTCTTCATCTTGGCGTCCTTCAGGGCCCTCTCCAAGGGTTTCAGGGTGGCCCGGAAGAGGTCAGAGCAGAGGTCCTCGAAACGTGCCCTGGTGATGGTGGTGTGGAAGTCTATCCCTTGGTAGAGGGAGTCGACGGAGATGCTCGCGCTGGAGCAGGAGCTTAAGGTGCACTTGGCCTGCTCGCAGGCCATCTTCAGCCTCTGCATGGCCTTCTTGTCCTGGAGAAGGTCCACCTTGTGCTTCTTCTTGAACTCCTCCACGAGATAATCCACAAGCCTCTTGTCGAAGTCCTCCCCGCCCAGGTGAGTGTCTCCAGCGGTGGCCTTCACTTCAAAGATGCCGTCCTCGGCGGAGAGAACGGAGACGTCGAAAGTGCCCCCGCCCAGGTCAAAGATGAGGATGTTGCGGCTCCTGCCCTCGGGGCTCTTGGTGTTCAGGCCATAGGCGATGGCCGCTGCCGTTGGTTCATTGAGGATCTTCAGGATCTGGAGGCTGGCGATGGCCCCGGCGTCTATGGTGGCCTGGCGCTGGGCGTCGTTGAAGTAGGCCGGCACCGTGACGACGGCTTGGGAGACCGAGCAGCCTAGGTAGGACTCGGCCGTCTGCTTCATCTTGGCCAGCACCATGGCCGAGATCTCTTCCGGGTAGAAGGCCCGCTGCTTGCCTTTGTGGGAGACCTGAACCTTGAGCTTCCCTTCCTGGTTGACCACCCCGAAAGGCCAGTGCTTCATGTCCTCCTGCACCGTCGCATCCTCGTACTTCCTGCCGAGCAGCCGCTTGGCGTCAAAGACGGTGTTCTGGGGATTGAGGGAGGCCTGGCTCTTGGCCGGGTCCCCCACCAGGTGCTCGGTCTGGGTGAACGCCACGTAGCTGGGCATCGTCCGGTGCCCCTGGTCGTTGGCGATGATCTCCACTTTGCCGTGCTGGCAGACGGCCACGCAGGAGTAGGTGGTCCCGAGGTCGATCCCGACGGCCACTGGACTTTGCTTAGGCATGGTGACACTGGTCGCCTTTTGGGTTAGCTGGGGACTGGGGGGCAACCGATGCTCCCATGAGAGCTCTGCCTGTCCTTCGCTCACTCGCCCTCCCCTACTTCAAGGCGGCTGGCCTCAGATCTCTTCCTGGGACCACCATGGCTTCTTCTCCCTGGCCTCCAGCCGGGCAGTTTGGGCTCCCCCTACCTGGAGGGTGCAGAGCCCACCCTCATCTGTCCCCTCAGCCTCCCTGGTGACTTCACGGCCACACATCACAATGGCAGCTGAGTCGACAGCCGTGTCACGGCCCCCCTGAGCTCCCCTCCTTCCTGGCTGGATGACCTTGGGCAAGCCATAACTCTGGCACAGCTGTTCTTGAAAAAGAGCAGTTTCTGTCAAGAGTTCTCTCAGCCCCACCTACCTCACACAGGGTGTCTGTTGTGGGGAGGGGGAGGGGAAGGAGTTTGTGAGCCGCTCTGAGACTCCTTTTGGTTGTGAAGGGCGGGGGATAAATCCAATCTCTTCTTCTCATCTCTTCTTCTTCTTCCTTCCAGGAGGAGGAGGTTGGATTTATCCCCCATGGCCCTTCACGACCCAAGGGAGTCTCAGAGTGGCTTACAAACTACGGCTTGCCCGAGGGCATCCAGCCAGGTGCAAGTGGAGGAGTGGGGAATCAAACCCGGTTCTCCCAGATTAGAGTCCACCTGCACTTCACCACGACACCAAACTGGCTCTCCAGACGGCCCTCTGACCTGGCTGAAGAACCATCTTGCTGTATCGGCTGAAGACCCTAACCCAGAACAGACACAGCAACACACACTGAATCAGGCGATTGGCCCACTGGAGAGCCAGTTTGGTGTTGTGGTTAAGTAATGGCTGTTTGATTTGTGGGTCAGACTAACACGACTGTTGGCTTTATACTGGTTTACTGATCGGGTCGTGTTTGTCCAGATTTATTTTGTAACATTACAACCCAATATAAAGGACGTTTTACTTTCTCAGAGGAAGAAAAGAATCGTATACTTACTCGAGGTCCTAAATTATTAATTTCTTAAGACTTGTTGCCTAGCATTTATGAAACAGCTTTGGCACCATTATGATATCTCCTGAAAAAGATCCATTTTTTTGAAACGTTGTTATATAATCCGGAGACGATGTTGATTATGTACCTTGGTTCAAGGATTTTCTTATGATTCATTTATCATGTTGTAGTGCTTCAGATTGCAATGCATAGATGGCATTCTTTATAAGTCTTAATGACTGTTTGATTTGTGGGTCAGACTATCACGACTGTTGGCTTTATACTTGCTTGCTGAGAGAGCTCTGACAGAAACGGCTCTTTTTCAAGAACAGCTCTTATCAGAACTATGGCTTGCCCAAGGTCATCCAGCCAGGTGCAAGTGGAGGAGGAGTGGGGAATCAAACCCGGTTCTCCCAGATTGGAGTCCGTACACTTAACCACTACACCAAACCAGCTCTCTCTCAGGTCTCGTTTCATTTACAATTTTGTCAGTGTATAGTGTTAAAATCTCTATATAATTCATTCATTTAACAAGCAGTATGGCCAATTTTCATAGTGCTGATGGCCTTATTAGGAGTGATTTTTGAGTGAGTTACTCCAAGTCAACTGAATACTGGATAGGAACTTAATAGTCTGTGGCTATTTCCTTTGGTGCAATACATCACGGTTGTTCCGCTCATTTCCGCCGCCTGGAGGTTGGCAACTTTGTTCCTTGTGCCAGGCGGACGTGCTATGAGCAGAACGGATCCGTGGGATCCAATCTGTAATTAATTTTTTTAAAGCAAAGAGTGCAGTGTTTCACCCTCCGTCTGTGTGTGTGTGTGTGTGATTGTTGGGAAAAAAGTGTTTCTCGGGAAGCCGATCCGCACGCCCGTCTCCTCCCCACAAGCAAGACTCCATTCACAGACAAGGTGGGCGGGGGGGGGGGTCGCTAACACCCGCTACTCCTAAAAGCCCGGTCAAGTTCGAGTAGGAAAACGGACACTACGGCTTTCCAGTAGCGCCAACTATAGAGCCACTGTGTCGGCGGTGACCCCCGGGGTCGAAGGTGAAGGGTTTCCCAGGAGTGCCTTTGATAGAGCCATCTTTGATGAGAAAGGACCCTCTATGCAGATGTCTCATCATTACCATTAGAATGTGTAGCAAAACTCAGGCCCGAAAAGCGAGATTTAATGGAATGTAATTAAAACTGCCGTGTCGAGGTTTCTTTTCTAGTATTCCCCCCCCACCACCTCTCACGTTCCCCTTTCTCTCTCTCGCCCCTTAACCCTTCCCAATGCCTGGTTCGTGACTACCCTCGGGGGAGAGGGACTCCAGCCGGTTTGAATTCCACACAGACTGATAAAAGAGGCTGCGGATATTGTCTAAAGCGCCGCCGATGCACCCTTAATAGCCCAACTCCCCAAATCCAAACTCTGCATCTCCCGTCAGATCCTGGCTCCAACCCACTTAAGAGACAAGTTGCTGGGGGGGGGGCAAGAGTGGGAGGGCTTCTGGAGTTCTGGCCCCGCTAGTGGACCTCCTGATGGCCCCTGGGTTTTGGCCACTGTGTGACCCAGAGTGTTGGACTGGATGGGCCACTGGCCTGATCCAACATGGCTTCTCGTACGTTCTTATGTCTGGGGCAGGGAGGCTCTGTCTTCTTGGTGCTTTGGGGGGGCAACAGTGGGAGGGCTTCTTGTGTCCTGGCCCCACTGCTGGACCTCCTGAGGGCACCTGGTGTTTTTGGCCACTGTGTGACACGGAGTGGATGAGCCATTGGCCTGATCCAGCGTGGCTTCTCTTATGTTCTTATGTCTGGGGCAGTGATGCTCTGTCTCCTTGGTGCTTGGGGGGGGGCAACAGTGGGAGGGCTTCTGGAGTTCTGGCCCTGCTGGTGGACCTCCTGATGGCCCCTGGGCTTTGGCCACTGTGTGACAGAGTGTTGGACTGGATGGGCCACTGGCCTGATCCAACATGGCTTCTCGTACGTTCTTATGTCTGGGGCAGGGAGGCTCTGTCTTCTTGGTGCTTGGGAGGGGGCCAACCACCCATGAACATCTCTTGCCTTGGAACCCTCACGGGCCTCTCCATGGGGTCAGCTGCAGTTTGATGGCCCTTTCCACCCCTACCCCCACCGCGTAGCTTTCCAGTTCCCCAACGGGCGTCTGCAACATAGCCGCCTCTCGCTTTTCAAAGCACAGCCAGTTGGTCAGATTCCAGCGGCGCCCATGTCCGTGTGTGGGCAGGACGGCAACCTCTCTTCGCTAAGCAAATTGGGAGGGGGGGGCATATGTCTCTTTCCCATTATGACAGAAGAGTCAAAGCCCCCCAGACGCCAGCCTTGCTCTGCAGCATCAGCAAAGGTCAATTTAATCGCAGGCCCCGAGGATCAATCCTCCCAGACGTGCGCGCTGCCCTCCCACGCAACCTGCCCCCTCGCCCGGCCCAGTCCCTCAACCCCACTTTCGGAAATTCACTTCCACCTTCCTCTTTGCCCCCTTTTCCTCCTTGACCTCTCTCTTCTCTCCGCCACTGGGGTCTGCCCCCGTCTCCTTTCCTAATGGTAAAGGATGTCACGGATCACACTCCGCGCTCCATCCATCAAGTCGCCAGCCCTCAAGGTCAGGGTCACGGATAAAAGGAGGCCAGAGGTCGACGGGGGACACGCAGAGGGGCGGAAGGGGGCTGGGCTGAGCTGGGCGGAGGGCCTTTCCCTTTTCGAGGCCAGAGACAGAGATGGAGGGTGGCTTTTGCTGGGGCTTTAAATGGGTCTTTGCAGCTGGCGAGGGCAACACTCAGCGGTTAACCACCTGGGAGGGGTGTGCAGCTGGCAAATGTGTTTACCAGGGGAGAATAGAAGAAAGGAAAAGGGGAGAACAGAAGAAACAGAACAAGGAAAGGGGGTGTTGGATCCCCCGGGATCTTCTGTGCCA